TGCTCCCCCATTTCTCTTGCTGCCACTTACTTCAAGTATTTTCATTTCATGGCCTTCATCTCCAGGACAGCCAGTCTTCATTCAGCCTTACCTTTCTGACCTTGTCCTGATGCTCTGAGCAAAGTTCAATTCTAAAAGGAAGTTGTTTTTGGATGTGACTGGAAATTCTATTTTCATTCCAGCTAACTGTATGGAAGTCCCAAGAATTTGGGATAACATCACCTCTAAATGATAAATGCTTTGAATAAAATAACTTGAGTATAGTTGTTAACCACATGCATCTCTTACGTACCAGCCTTCTTACACCAAGGAGTTAGTGTCTTTTGGGTGGGGTCGGGGAAGGAAAACAATTAGAACTTAACCAGTGTCTGACAAGAAGTACTCAGCAGTAGTTTTTACTAAAAATTGTGTTGAAATGGTGTCTTTGTGTGATTGCTTTTCAGATTAACAGGTTCGATGGATTCTCTTGCAGAGACTTCGAGTAAGATAAATCACTCTTTTCCAGGTAGGTGGGTAAGATGCTGTAATTTACCATGTAGCTTATGTAGCCTGCTGTAGGCTACCATTCCTTAATTAGAGCTTGCAGCACTAAGGTCACAGCTCTGAAAGCATGAGATTTTCAAGGAACCCAAGGTTATTTTGTGAAAAGCCTGCTTCCAGTTACCCCTTGTCAGTTTATTTAATTTCTTTTGTCTCAGAACATATGAAGCACGTTGTGGACACTTACACTCATGAACAGTTTCATCAGTTACCAAACTGGAAGGGAGAGTGTGTAGCAAAGATAGTGGGAGCAGTATAAAGGAAAACAGAGATAAGGGACTCATAAACAAAAATCTTTGTAAATCCCGCATAGCTCATTAACTTTCTCATTTAGGTTTTAGACGCAGTTTAAGCACCACTTCTGCATCTTCACAAAAAGAGATAAGCAGAAGAAATTCCTTCGCTAGGTGAGTATTTGGGTTTTAAGATGTCTGGGTCAGCCGGCTGATAGCTTTACTGCTTCTTGCTGCAAAGAAGATCTGTATGCTCATGAGGTGCTAGATGTTATTGTATACACCCACTCTTTTTCCTCCAAAATTAAGCTGTTGCCTACTGTTTTTTCTGTGGGTATGCTAAGATACAGTCCTTGCATTCAAGGTGGCAGCAAAATGATTTTCCAATTGCTCATTGCTGCAAATTCTTGTATTTCCATTCAGCTGTTTGAGTTCAGCAGGCCTTGGTAAAGGACTGCACTTTGTCCTGCCTGTTGTACCACCTATCATGAGCGCTGCAAATCTGGCATGGATTCTTTAAGTATTTCAGACTGCCCTCTGTTGTAGGAAACCAGAGTTGTTATATGTTTTGCTAGTAATTTGAGCTTAAACCCAAGTTATCTTACGCACTGCACTAAGTTAGAAATGTGCCTTGGGTGTTTTATAGAAAGACGCTGACTCTTTTTCCCCCCTATTTTTTAAACTAGATCCAAGAGCTCTGTGTCACGGCACAGCTGGAGCCACCCCAGCACAGCTACCACAGAGGGACTGGTGAAGCTGCACGAAGGCTCACAGATTCTTCTGACCAGCTCCAATGAAATGGGCACCATCAGGTACATTGGTCCGACAGACTTTGCACCGGGGATATGGCTTGGCCTTGAGCTGCGAAGTGCCAAGGGCAAGAATGATGGCTCTGTGGGGGACAAGCGTTACTTCACCTGCAAGCAGAACCACGGCGTCTTGGTTCGACCTAGCAGGGTAACCTACAGGGGGATCAATGGGGCTAAACTCGTGGATGATATCTGCTGAGCCAGAAGATGCTCAGATGATAGGAAACATTTAAAGCACACAGGATCCCCATACGGAATGCCAACTTATTTTTAAATTATCAAACCTGCATTTATATTTTATGTATAGATAGATATCTATAATATATATTTGTATTTATATATATACATATATATCACATCACACACTAAGTATACAGAGATAGATATAAACAAACAAAAGTTCAGTGTCATTAAGAAGTCAAACCACTGCTCTGTTTCTCTTAATGAAACAGCTCTTACCTGGGAAGGTAATTCCAAAAGCATATTGGCTTTCAGATGCTGTGTTATTTGAATCATGCTCCAGCTGGAGAACATGAGTACACCTAAAGTTCTCTAGAGTTGCTTTATGATTCATGCAGTATTTAAATGATTTTCCTCTGTGTAGTAATGAACTGATAATGCTTTGTGCATTGCCTGCTTTTGAACAGAGGGGGTGGTTAATGAGTGACATTAGTCTGTTCACCAGGCACTATGTCAATTTCAATACCAGCTGCTAGCAATAAAAAAAAACCTCTTTTTTTTCAAGCAGTTATGAGATATTTCTATCATCAGATCCCTCCTCTTCTTTTTCCCCTGCCATTGTCTCCTCCAAATCCAAAAGGGCTGATAAATAAATGCAGGTATTTGCAGTGATCCTAGCAAACAGCAAATAAGTAAAAAGCCTTTAAAAAGCACAAATGTAGAGCATGTCAGGCAGTAAATTTGTTGTATATATACGAAGCACTCCTTAAAATAATGCACTTTGCACTCTCCTGGGGAACTCTCCCTCCTTTATAAAGGTTTGGCGTGCTGCAGGCAATAGGTATCATAGTTTTTAAATGCACAGAAACCCTGAGAGGAGCTACGCAACATAACTGTCCAGTAGTCTGTACATACAGCATGGCCATCCCTGCCAGCAGTATGTGTTATGGGCTGGGTTTTCAAGCAAGCTAGTAACACTTCAATTATTTCTGTTTCTTTTTGTTTTCTTTGGTACAGTTTCCAGTGTAAATTTCTTGTAAGAGGCTTAGGATAAATTAAAGATAATTTTACATACCGCACTGTAACATAAGTTGATGTGACATCACTTGCATATCAGCCTTTTTTAAAAACAGCTTGCACTTGTCCCTGTTTTAAACATGTAATGTGTTTTAATTGCTCACGGTTATCTCACTATTATCAGGTGGTTCTGTGTTCCAGATGATCATCTTATACTTAAATGATCTGCTTGCTTTTACCTACTTGAAAGAAGAGACACTTTAAATGAAGTTAGTATCCTATTTTTAGACAGAATTCTGCTGCTATTATGTTATTTTAAATACTACAGTAGCTATTTTTCCTTGGCTGTATTTAAAATACTGCATATTGTACTCTAGCTTATGGGGCGTTTTTAATTGAATATAAAGGTTGTAAATTTTGAATGTAAAAAAAAAAAATCAGTGCTTTATATTTGAAGATGTACCAAACTGAGTGACATACTGAACATGACTTTGTCCAATATCTGTTTCTTGGTGTATTAGTAAAATGAAAGCCTGGTGAGTAGTACTGCACAGAGAAGCTTCCTGAGATCTATACAGCACGTACATCCCCTTACTTTTATTCCTGTGTACAGATTACACAGGCATGTACAGCGTGAAACAGCAGCTATGGAATACCACATGGAAGTTCTAATGTCTCCTAGCTCAGTCATAGAGGATTGCCAGCAGCAGTGCTCTGAGGGTTGTGCAGTCGCTACAGAACCCAGCACACAGGAAGCCAGTTACAGCCATTTTATTGGTCTTCATGCCTTTTGGTTCACTACACTTGTTTACAATACAAAGACACTATTCAATACAAAATACTCAATGACCATATATTAGCATTCTTCTTCATAGTATCCCTGAAGTGCACAGGCCCTTCCTTTATAAACAATGTTGCATAAACTGCTGTAGGTGAGACAGACATTCCTCTAATGAAGCTCTGTTACTAAAAGAAGCCAGATGCAGACAGTTCAGACAGTTCTCATGACAGGTTTAACTTTAGGACAGACACTTTGTGATGTCTTTGCAGCTGTGAGAGACAGTTCTATGCTATACCTATATCAAGGTTCTTGTCACCAAGCAGACAGGCTCAGTAAGAGGAGCAAACATGCACAGTTCAATCCTTCATGGCCTAGCACAGACCTCTCACCTAGTGTAAGCATGCCTGGAAGGGAGCCTAAGATACCTCTGCATACCCTCTCCCACCACCAGTCCATCCTCCACCCCTCTGGAAGCAGAACCACCTCCATGCCTTGCTTCATTTCCAGGCACGATGGAGAAACAAGGGTCAGTAGCAAAACCAAAGATGGAAATACAACAAGAAAGGCAGATAAACAGCCCAATCTACTTGACCTTCAGCAGTTAACAAATTAGCACTGGATCAGAAAACCTACCTAATGTCTATAGGACACTGATAACATCCACAGGGAAATAAGTGCTTTGCAGAGCATGAGAGTGGTGATGCAGGGTTTTCCCATTCATGCTGTACATCCTGGAGATCATACTGCTTCCTGCTTTTCCACTGCAGAGCAGGAAAAACACAAGACAGGAATGCCAATGAAAGAAGAGAAACAGTCTGAAAGCAAGTTGTTCCACACTTCAAAAATTTGCATTACCTAGCTCAAAAAAATTATATCAATGCTTACAGAAAATAAAAGGAAAAAGTGATAGACAAAAACCTGCAAGAGATTCAGAATCACTTCAGCTTTTTCTTCTCTGACACTAAGCTTTGTGTGGAGAGGCCTAATAAAGGATTTGGGATTTACATGCTCTTTGGTCAGGTAAGCTCATAGTGGCCTAAGCCCCTTCGGGGGCTTCAGATCTGGGCAGGTGCATCTCTCCTGACAGATTAAAAATTCACAGTTCCTAACTGGACAATAACTGGACAAAAATTTTCTGCTAATGGTGTACACATAAAATAAATTTGCTGGAATGAAATTGGTAGAAACTGGAACACAGACACCAACACTGACTGCTACTTCTTGTGTCAGAAATGCTAAAGTAAATACTATTAAAGACCTCCTTGTACAGAAGGTAAATCACTCTCATCACTACACAACACTAACTCATCACTGACAACTATGACAAATAATTACTCAGCTCTTTAGACACACACACAGTCTCTACACTAATCACACCTCTAAAATACCATCTACTAATTTTACCTTAAAGCACTCAGCCAAGTTGCTGGAGTTGTCCTGGACTGCCCATAGAAAAAGCCTCTTAATTCCTTTCCCCAGCTCCGCATAAACTCCTGCAAGTAATTCTTTACCCAGTGCACAACTGCAGGAGAAGTGCAGCTCAGAGGCAGGTGAGGCAGGACTGTTGGGTGGCTCCTGCCACAGCCCCAGCTAATTGGAGGTGGGAAAGTAACAAGTATTGCTCAGGTGGAAATCATTACTTTCTTGACAGAGGAAATCAGGCATTATTAATAATGCTTTTTACATTAAAATAAGCCCAAACCAGTGCAACGACTGCCTACTTTGCAACTTCCCTTGTCTTGTGTATTCTTTTATAATGCCCATCAGCACACAGGGCAGGCTTGCTCCTTGTTGACACATAAGAGAGCAAAACAATCTGTGTGCTCCTATGCAAAGATGAGCTAAAGAAAACAACGAGGAGCTTCAACCCTTTCAAAAATGAGAAAGCAAGAACATTTAAATGAAGATTGCTCTTATATGTGAATAACAGTATTTCCTTAAGCAGACAGGAAGCTGACTTACCTCGGTTTTTGGAGCCAGGGCCAGATTCAGAATCACTTCACTGAAATTTCTTGGACTGAAGAACACCTCCATAGTCCTTTGCTGATGCTTCAGGAGGCTCCTTTCTATGGAGATAGGCACCTCCTTTTCAGACTGCACTGATGCTAAAACAGCTCCTTACAACCGTAAGTTGAAGTTACTAACGCATATCTTTACACATGAATAATTGCCTACGTCTATGGTTTGACAGTACACTTACTGGAATATTTGTCATGCACAAGGTGTACAAAATGAGTCAATGCAGTGCTCGTTTTTAAACCACTATCATACACACATTTTGTTAAAGAAACAAGGGCTCTCGGCCCTTCAATTACAGACAGTATCTGGTATCTAGATTGTGGCACGATGTCATCTTCTGCCTTTATCTTGTTCTTGCTTGTACAGGGTATGTTGAAGGTTACTTTAAATGTCTGAGCTATGCAGGTGGCAGTCCATCTTCAGGGCACAGTTAAAGTTTCTCTCATAACCACGGTCCTTTAAAGCTTCACTTTGGTTGCACTTGACACGCACAAGTTTGTGATGAAGGACATTCATTTGTAGAACAGAATGAACTTTATGGGTTTTACTCCATTTCAGTATTTAAGCACAGGAGAAAAAACAAACAACAAAAAAAAAAACACAGAAAAACAACACCCCTGCTCCAAGCCAGAACCCATCCTCTGTGCTTCCTGCTGTCTCTTGCAAGTGATGTAATCTGACCAGTCTTCCTATTGCCCTGCCAGTGACACCATAACCGCTGTGCATTCAAGGACTTTCAAAGACAAGACTGTAGTTGGAACTTGGGAATGTACCATTGCATCACCATCCAAAGTTGTCATCTCCTTTTTCAGTTTGGACAAAGGACGCTTTCCTCAAACCTGTTCTGGCCTCTGCCAGTTGCAGGTGCTCTCCAAGTGTTCCTCAGCAATAAGTTTGGCATGGAAAATCCCAGACATGAAACATCCAAGGCAGCGAGCCGTGGCTTTACGCTTAAGCAGAGAACGCAGAACTGAGAGAAGCTCACAGGAAGGGCATGACAACAACCATGCAGATGAGTTAATGCAACAGGAAGCTGGGCCTTGCAGTTAACATTTGTTTCCTGTACCCTCCCTCCCTCCTCCTTACTTATTTTACTGTACTGGGGCTCTGGTGATTTGAAGCCTCTTGGATTATTTGAAATTACAGGTTCAAAGGTGGCACTTCTAGAGCAAGCTGGCACAAATAGAAGGTAATGCCTCACATCACTTGCTCGTGGTGTAGTGGGTAACAGGATATTTCTTCAAGGCTTGGGACTACAGGGGGGAAAGTCGAGAGAGTAAAGGGCTCTCAGGGCCCCTGCTGGGATATGTGGCTCTTGTTTCTAAGGGTGGGGTCCTCATAACCGCTAGCACAAGATGGCGTGGAGGCTTCCAAAGGCAAGCCCTGCTGTTGGTATCCATAGTTGACATTCCCACAGGGGAAGTGACGGAGCCTAAAGAGAGGCACTTCTTTAACGCTTGCTGTTAGGGAGGATGGCTCTAATAGCAGGGAGGAGCCTGGTAGCCTGCCAGTCACTATGTTGGGCCCCACAGTACAGTTTCCTTCGTGTCCTAAGTTCTCCCTCTCAGGCATCTCTTTCTCCAGCAGAGGTTTGTTTTTGCTGGCCTGCTTCTCTGCAAACCAGGAACCATAGGTTGGATTCCAGAGGTTGGTAGGCTTGTTTCTGGAGCCTCGGCCTTTATGCAGCTCAGAAGGGGGGTTGGACTGGGCGTAGGCCATGTTGATATGTCCCCCACCCGAGGCTGCCTGCACCTTCCCAGGGACTGATGACTCCAAGGATCCTGCTTTCCCTAGAGCTTTTCCTGCAGTGATGGCTGATGGCAGGGGTGGTGGAGATGGCAAGGTTTGCTTCTCATCCTTTCTGTCTTGGTGCGAGGAAACCAACAGAGGAGGAATTGCTTCTGGATCTTCTGGGCGTATTGCTACCTTCTCTTCCTCTTCAACCGACGGGCCATATTCTACTGGCAAAGCAGTGTTGATGACATCTGGGTCCTGGAGGAGAGAGGAATGAGAATTTCTCCAAGTCTGCTGCCATAATGCATGCTTGTACTCAACTAAAAAACTGAGATATCTGACCACGTTCATGCTGTGATCAGAAAGCATCTTTCCCATCAGCTAGAAACCATATCCTGCACGTAAAGGACGCTGACAAAATAACAGTTAGCCATGAGAGGCAATGAGATATCCATAAAACTGAACTCTCTCTCTCAAAAAAAGCAACCCTAAAACTTCACACAGAAGAGGAGAGAGCACAAAAACAATTTTTTTTTTTTTTTTTTTTCCCAGCCAAATTTCCTGTGGGAATGTTGTTTTGCAAGCTGTATCATCTCAAAGTTCATAACGTTCTCAGATAATATTGAGAAAGTTTCAGTCATGAAAGCATTGCCTCCATTTAACAGGGGAAGAGTGGGAAGGCAATACTGGAAATCCACAGAGAGAGAAGTTTTGAACTATTAAGCAATTTTGAAAATTAAAAGGAAGGAAACATGGTGGTCTAGGCAACTCATAACTACTACCAGACACCAAGGCAATCTATAGATAACAGAGAAAAATATCTTCCAATCCCAGGATCCAAACTCTCGTGAAAAACTGATCAAGGCTCTCAGATATTGAGGGAAAGAAAGCTGTTTGAGGCAAATAATTGCATACTCAGGCAGGCAGCAAAACATTTTCCAAACTACTCCACTCCTTATGAACTACAAACAGTGGTTAAAACAAAAATTGGGAAAGCTCAGATTTCAAGATGGAAAACCAGACATACCCTTTTCTCTGCCGCCTAGCCATGCAATCCCACTCATAATGGCTGCCCCTATCTGCCTGAAAAGGTACTCCAAGGTACTGACCATTTCTGCTCAGTGTTGACCATGTCTTGAGAGTAAATACTGGGACGAAGCAGCTGACACAAAGCACGTGAAGTACATGCAGGTGCTGGCCTGTCTTTCACTTGTTAGTCATCTGTGCCTTCATAAGTGTAAGCAGAGCTATTTGGTCTGCTATTTCTAGAGCTGTGCAAGCCTCTGGCATCAGTCCCTCTGGACTGCTGACTGCAGAAATGCAGTGCCACCTCCTCGTCTCACACTCTGGCTTGCCAAACTGCTTGTCAACTAGAAACATCCTCACCCACCTTATGGAAGATGAACGAACACAGATACCTGAGTGCAGTACTCGATCCTTTCCAAGATTATGGCAAAGTTTGGCCTGTCTTCTGGCTGGTGCTGCCAGCACTGGGTCATAATGCGGTATCTGAAAGAGCAGAACAAGAAATCTCATAAATTGTAGATTGTGTTAGTACGTAACAGCAAGCCACTGCAGCCTAGAAACCATAAGCACACATTGCCACTCTTCTAAGAAATAGAGGGGGTCTGACATCAGGGTGAGACAACTGATAATACTGCTAACTACAGAAATGTGGCTGCCAGAGTGAAATCTGCACCCATTAGAAAAATAACTCATCCACCTGAAATCCCTTGGGGAATTCATTAAAGGCAGGGTAGGGGAACAGATAACCCATTTTTTCCTACCTGTGACCAAGCTTACACACTTGCAGTTTTATAGCTATTCTAAGACAGAATTAGTGCACCAGCTTTCAGCAAACAAGCAGTGGCCTCTACTTTTTCAGATGCCTTAATTCTTCCACGAAGAAGACAGAAAAATTAACTGCTAGAGAAGTCACTGGCACTCAAGCTCAGTGAGGCAGATCAACCACAATCAATCTAAAAAGTCATTAGCTTTTAAGAAGAGAACAGCATTCAAAACAGAAACCTGTTTGCATGAATACATCAAAGTTAGAATCTCATACACAGGGCCAGGGCAGTTTTTAGGTGGATCCATCCTTCCTCCGTTGGTTACAAATTCCAGAACCTCCTGGTTACTTTTGCTAGGGTAAGGCATGTATCCCAATGAGAATATCTCCCACAGCAATACACCAAAGGACCTGAATAGAGAAGAGATCAAAGTGAAGGATACAGGAATGACCACCATCATCACTGAGGGGGAACATCTGCGACAGGAACCCCCTCCAGAGCATTCATCTGTCTGGCTACTTGAGAATCACCATCTTGAGTGAAATTGAAGAAGAGCTATAAGCAGCAATGGAAACTCAGGCAGCAGCTCAGCTCTGTCAGAGGGGGCATCTCCATCCTCTCCTCTGCATGGGCTTGCTGAGGAGCTGTGCCCTGACCAGCAGCCCCTTCCCCTCCAGGCACAGCCTGGGCTCCCACCTCCCCACAGCCCCAGTGACCTTCCTCCTTCACCCCTGGCTTTATCTCAGCACTACAGCAGGTGAGGTGAGGCCAAGATGCATTATAAGCAGAAGTAACTGCACCAGGGACTTGATTCTTCTGGACAAGCCCTCTGCTTTCAGTTCACAAGTTCACTAAATTTCTCTCCTCATCTCGCTGCTGGAAATTCAAGAGCTCATGGTGCTACTCTGGGATAGGAGGAACGTAAAAGCTGCTGAATGTTACACCCTTCTCCCTAACTGGCAGGATGGATCCTGTTTGCAGTCTCTTATTACATGTGTACTGCTTTCATTTGGAGCTAATGCATTCCTCCCTGTAGCAAAAACACAGCACATCCAACTGCCTCAATCTTCCTTCCCCGCCTGCTTGCTGCCCCAGCAGCACCTGCCTTTGCTGACTGCCTGTTCCCTCATGTCCTACAGGATTTCTGCCCCTGAAGGACCTTGCTTGTCTAAGGGGGAAATGAACAAGAACACCTTTTTTTTTTTTTAAAAAAAAAAAAAACAAGAAACAAAACATTCACACTTTACTCAATGGATTACAACAGACAGACACACGCACATAAACACAGATGGAGCAGTAAGGGAAGCTCACCATGTGTCTGTTTTTGATGTAAATATCCCTTCCATGAAAGCCTCGGGAGGCATCCATTTGACAGGCAGCATTGCACACCCTCCCTTCCGATAGTAGCTGGCTCTGCAGAGAACAAGCAAAACAGTCAGCCAGGAATTCAAAAAAATGTCCTAAACTCAGAATTTTTATAATGAGGAATATTTAAATTATCATCTGAAGGAGGGATTAATTTAGGGAAAAGAGCACACTAGAGAAAATGCTGGAGAGACCTGTTTCTTCTCACAAAAATGATGGCAATGGGCCATGTAAGGTCTACTCTGCAATCTCCCTCACCTTAGGCCTGATCCAATGAAACTGAGTTATTCTTATCTGTGTGCATACTTGAGTGACTTGACTGTCCTTCCTGCTGTGCTTTTCAGCCCCAGCAAGACTTGCACATCATCTCACAGGTGGTGGCCTCAAGCATCCCCAGCTACCATAAACAAAGCCTTTCCCAAATGTACCCAGTTTACCAAATGTACCCAGTTTAAGCACTGCAAGAGGGATCCAAAACCCTTAGTAGGACCTAAGAGCAGCAAGGAGGATGGTCAGCTAGCAGATAGAAAAGTTGCCTCCTATGCTCCAGAGACAGGAAGTATGACAGTCTTTATGTTGTTTTTGTTTAAAATAAAGCCTAGAATCCCCAGATCCTGTGCTGGCAGCTACAGCATGTTTCTCATGCAAGCCAATATTTATGTTCATAACTAAACAGCCTGAGCACACAAAGCATACTACGAGACACTGAAACATGTGCAAACTTCAGAGACATCTCTGAAAACTCAGCACCAAAGCATTCATCTTGGCAGTCGGTTCAACTGATGTGTGAGTGTGACAGATGTTACTTTGTCCTAGCAGAGTCCCATCTGACAGTGGGCAGAGCAGAGGCTCTTTGTGAAAACGGAGATGGGGGAGGAAAAAAAAAAAAGCAGTTCTGATATGCTTGTTTTTTTTTTGAAAGTAACATTCTCTTTGCATCACCTCAGGCTGTGATACTGGCAGACCTCAAGTTAAGCAGAGCCAGGCCTGGCTTAGTAATTGCACAGAAGAATCCCCAACCAGGAAAAAAAGAAGCTGAGGCTCTGGAATAAAGAGAGCGAATGACTGACTACAGGGCTTTCCTTCCTTTGAGTCAGAGGCAAATCAATTCCTCAGCACAGCAGGATATGGTGCTGTGCTTCTGGGGTTGCTGTTTAGAAGATGAGATCTGAAACTGCTGCCCTGACTGCTTGTGGTCATTAAAGGCTTCCTGACTCTTTCTTACAAGAATAGAGTAGTTAATTCTGTGTCCTCACTTCCAGTTTTGGTGATTGCATTTTCCTAACTTTCCTCTGCACCCCTCCTTTATTTGCAGTAAATTGAGGAGATGTACTGATGACACCAAGCCAAAGGGGCAGGGGTAGTATCAAGCAGAAAGATTAAATGCAGAAACGTTGGGGACCACACAGCAGAAGGGCACATTGGTGCCATTCAGTGCAGACAGCAGCAAGGCAAGAAATTGTGGATAGAGTACAAGAGGGAGGAAAAACGCCTTCCATGGCCATCAGACTTTGTTACTGAGAAATAGACTCTCAGGGAGTGGTAAAAGTCTCCAAAGCACTCCTAAAGCATAGCGGAAGACAAAAACCAACAAAAACATTAGCGGGGATTCATTGGGGTTGAATGTCTCCACTTTCGCCTTGCTAGAATTACACAGAGCAGCACATGAGCTTGCTGTCCTTCAGAGACACTTCTTTCTCATTTTTGTGAGCTTCTGCTTGTGGATAACCTGGCTTTAGATCTGCTACCTGTATATATCCCGGGCCATGCCAAAGTCTCCAATTTTAGCCACTCTTCCAGGCCCTCGACAGGTAAGGAGGCAGTTCCTAGCAGCAATATCCCTACAAAGAAAGGCAAGAAAAGCGAGAAAAGAATCAATCATTCCATGGTTTTGCAAAGCAAAAAGAAAACAAAGAATAGTCCTTATTTTCCTGAAGTGCAGAGAACTCCCACCACCCAGAAAGTCAGTGCTCACAGGTAACTAGTGATTTCAATCTATTCCAATAGGAGGAAAAGTTCTTCTCTTAAAAGATTTCCTCCTAAAGCTTCATTTAACATCTCTTCAACAGGATGGCCTCCAGCAAGCCTCTTGTCACCCAGGAGCTATTAATTTTTCTAGGGAGTTGCAAGCAATGAGGCTGATTTCAGCAATGTATCAGTGCTGGCATCAAGCTGTCTGGGGAATGACTCATTGATCTGTTCCTAGCATGTTTGTTCAAATGTTGTCCAACAGGTATTGAACTGTCAGAGACAGGAAGAACAACAACATGCAAGAGAGCCTGCATCTGTGGATTCAGGTAAAGCTCCATCTCTGCTCAGCTGAAATAAACCCGAGACCAGAATAATACAGTTGCACCCCTTGTAACTCAGAAAAGTGAATTGCAATCTGGCTACAACAGCTTCACACAGCTCCTCGCAAAGCCACATGCTAGCACTGGGCTCTTCTGTTGTAGGTAGAGTGGCCATGCACATTCATTATGAACAACAGCAGTGCAGGATTAGTGGGAGCCAAAGAACAACTGTTGACATCTCTGCTTCCCTTGTTACTTGCTGTAGTGAAGAGTTGGAAGGAATACAAACGTGGTCACTCCAGGCCATGTTAAATGCTATGGCATTCATTTAAAATGTTCTAAAGTTAAGGTTGTAAAAAAATTAATAGAAAACGCTAAGGAAGCTGTAACACATGGGAAAACATCTTGACTTCTGCCCTTCATGGTCTGCCTTCCCATTGCCCTGCCCCCCACTACATTCCCCAGCATGTTTGCATGGCTCTACACAGTGCTATAGACAGAATTTTTGATGCTTCTCAAAAAACCCTGTTCTGCAGAAGCAGGTAGCAATAGTCACAATGTGCTGTGCTTCTAGCTGTACTTTACTTTGAGAGGGAGAAAGAGTTCCAGAGTGAGCAGGAAGACACTAAGCACAATTCTCAATGGGGAGGAGCTTTGAAGACATCTATCACATGATTGGCTACACAGCAAAGGGAAACACGAACTGGCTGCAAAAGCACTGAAAAAAAAGGGCTCAGGATCTTTGATAAAGCCACAGACCTCTGCAATTTGATCAACAGCAGCATTTCTGTCAATTGCTTCTGTTACTCTGGTTTTATCTACTTTGTTCAAAGCTATCCAGCCACTAGAGTGCAGCAGGACATAAACATATCAAACAAGGGTATTATGAGTCATTCTGGCCCCTATGTAAGTCATGACCATGCTGACACAGATGCATTCATCTACCTGTGAATGAAGTGATTCTCCTCCAGGTACTGACACCCACAAGCAATGTCATGAGCCACGTGGAGCAAGTCCAGCATGGAGAGGGAAGAAAGCTGATTCTACCAAAAGACAAAAGGAGAAAGTGAGTTAAAGAACACAGCATGATTCGTGACTGACAGAACACTGAGAACTGTCCATCCAGTATGCACAACGTAGCTCACACATTAATATACAGAAGGATTAAAAAGAAAAAAAATCGCACAAGGGAGAGTTCATATCCATGAACTACGGAAAGACAGAATCAGAACAGCTGGATCTGACTTTCTAGCTCCATTCAGAAATCCCCTGTAAGAATCTCTCACTGTTTTGCATGACACAAATGGATTTCCCCCAGTTCTCGTGGGAGACATTTCTGAATTTTTAGAATATTTTCATTTGAGGAGATACGTAGCCTGGAGACCTGACGCTCCATCAATTACTTTATATTATTTCTTGCTCTTCTCTGCAGTCACCTTGAACAATGAGAATGACATTTTGTGTAATGGCATGAGTCACATTTGCTCTTTTCCTCCTCCACATCTGTGTAGGTTTTATTTTGCCCCTCAGAGCACTGACACAGGTTTGCTTAGCCAATGGCTACAGAAGATGAGAGCTGCCAACTCCTTTCTTCAGCCTCTCTGATGAGGTCTACAGCCTTAGCCAGCAGAAGCCAGATGCCTTTGTGAAAAGGGCAGGCTGAGCAAAAGCTCCTGCTTGTGGGCCTCTGAAACCAAAATGAGGCGTGAATTAGTGATCCTGCACTAGTCCTGCAGGAGAGGAGGAAATTACTTCTGCTGATGACAGGGCTGACGCCAAACAACTAGGTGGCAGCGACTGCTTATTCCACAGCAGCCATTTGCTGGGTAAGCATTTACCTGCAGCCTTAGCTAAGCAATGCTATCCCACTCTCCAGTTCTCCCTGCTGACACCTACTACCCACCCAGTGCCCAAAAAGCACACCTGTGCATGAGTTTTTCCTCTCATGGCACACCAACCAGCACAGTGTCCAGTGATGGGAACTGCAGCCTGTGCCAACCTGTCTGTTGTAATGAAACACTGCCCAGACTGCTGTGATGCTCTGTCAGCCTTATCACTGGCTCTAAAGCACCACTGAGTGGAACTGAAAATAAGTCTACCCTTTGCTGCCAGTAAATATTGGACATTGTCTAAACCTAAACAAGCCCTCACATCTTCTTAAGAGGTTAGGAAAGCCCTAGCCTCCATACTTGACTAATGCAATGATGGAAATAGGTTTTGTTCACACAGAGTATATTTTTTCAATGTGGTTTTATAAAACAAAATAATTTGTGACTACCTATCACCTGCCTGCATTTTATTTATTCACTACATTGCATATATATTTGTTACATTTTTTAAAAGCCTTGACCGAGTCTCCCTCTGAACCTTTTGTTTTGTAGAGTAACCATTTCCTAAAGGCATTAAAACCTTTCCTCCTGCCTGCAACAACATTTGTGGGCAGGGGGAATTCATCTTTTTCATCTCTCCAAGTTAAAGTGACTCACCAGCTAGGAGACGAGAAGACAGCTACAGGAAGAGGATTGCAGCTGCCCCTTTTCCCCACATATCAGGGCACAATCCATGGGAATTGAATATTTCAGCCAACCCATTCTCTTAACTTTTGAGCAAGGCTCAAAATCTTGTTGCAAGAACCGAGTAAAAAGCCCCATTCTTTACTGTGCAATTGACTGCAGACCTGAGCTATAGTGCAAGTCAGTACAATGAAGCCACAACAAGCTAAATTGAATAATATAGATTTTCTCCCACCCCACCCCTCACCCCCCCACACTCCTTGGATGAATTTCTTCCACCTTTTATTTGGCTAAATGCAATCCTAAAACAGATGTGACTGCCCAGCCAAGGACACTTTAGCCATGCAATTTGTTTGAGGAATGGATGGTTTGGGTTCATTTTGCAGGGGAAGGAGCCTTGAGACTCTAAAGAATTCACTTCACAGCTGTTCACAGCTTTTGCTCCCCAGATGAATGAATGATGCCAGCTGCCAAGCACCACTGCTCAGAGCAGCAGGCATGCTAGAAGCACTAATGTGACACCTCCCTGGGTGAGGCTGGAGCTTGCTAAAGGGGAATGAAACTGTGTGTTGTTCAGTGTAATCACGGCTCTGTGCAACAGGCTGCAGAACGCACAGGGAAAGTAAAGGTAAAAGAAAGTAAAGCAGCTGGAAAATACAAAACTGAGTAAAGTAAGGAGAAATGATGCAAGTAAGGAGAGTAATGCAAAGATGAAGCTCAGTAAGCACTGCACCTTTGCTACTGAATCAGCCAGCTGGGTCTTGTGTGTTCAGTTAATCCCTGTTGGAAGCATAGCTCATCGAAACCTGTTGACTGTACTGTTCTCCCTTTCCCTCTGTTCCCCCTTTTCCAGAAAAACTGAACCCCACTTTCCTGTGCCTAATCTCTGCCTGTCCAGAATCAGCAAAAGGAAGAACAAAGGAGCTCAGGGCTCATTCAGATTAGAGCACAGATACAACCAGCAGTACAGAGCCACACTCAAACGTGATATATGTGGGGTATGAAACCTTCTTTGGCTTTTTGGCAGAAAGCTTGCTTTCTGAGGTATTTCTTGCGATAAGACTCTAGGAAATGAGAGCTGGGTGTTGCCATGTGGCAATCAACATCACTGTGTGGACAATTTTACAGTTGAAAGCATTTCTTTGGAGCTGTTTACCTTCAGAAGATAGTGCTCAGGACTGTTTAATGGTGGAAGATCTATCCTGTGACCAAATAACTCCTGTTTACTATGGGAGACTGGGGGATGATGCCATTGTATCCTGTGAAGGCAAGATACAAATTGGTGCCTCCCTGCTCCCTCTTATCTGCTGGCAAGGCCAGGGAGATAGGAACAAAGCAGCTTCTGCTCTGAGATCCCAAAGCCAGAAGCTGCCACTCCAAGAGCAGCTGACTCGACCACCTTGGGTTTGAGCTGTCACTCCAAAGACAGCTGACTCAACCACTTTGAAACCATTGAAAAGGGGCCATCATGGCCCTGGTCACTGTTATGGTTGTTGTTGTCAACAGAACAACAATGCCTGACAACCCACCACTACTGAAGATCAATGACTGAACTACCAACCACGCTGGATCCATGGTGGTGACTATCTCTCTCTTGCTTCCTATAAAGACTCCTTGCTTCTTCTTTCCTATCTTTTCTATCACCCTCCTTCCCCATTACCCTAATTTATAATAGTGTCCATCCTCCCCTTCCCCATCTCCTTAAGATCTGCAATAAACTGGTCAGACCAACATTTGAACCATTGTTTCTTAATCTCACACCAGGTATATAGATGTTAAAAGAACCTCATTTCCCTCCTATAAATTGGAGCAAAACATGTACATGTACACCCCAAACATAAGGGGTGTACAAGCTCTGGAAACAAGGCTGTGTCACCTGGGAAGAGTACAGGAACGCCGTCCGGACTTGCAGACGTGGGATCAGGGAAGCCAAGTGTCACGGATTTGACCAGATCAATCTATGTCCGTGACAGGGGACATAGTTCTGAATGTTCCAACACAGGGTTGGAACTACACGATCCTTGGGGTCCCTTCCAACCCGGGTGATTCTGTGTGATTCTGTATGTAGTACATGGGTACTATCACACTTCAAGTACATGCAGAAGGTAAACATGCTTCCACAGCTGGATACCATACATCACAGTGAATAACACCCTGCACACAGCCCATCTGTCATCAGCAAGTCTCCTAGCCTGCCTGTTTTTGAGTCAGCAGAGAAGCACATGTATCACAGGTGATTTCACAGCACTCAGAGTTGCTCAGGAGCTGCCCGGGCAGCCAGACAGCAAATTACCCTGTTATTCACCCCAAGTCAATATCAGATAAACTCAAAGAGATTGAGAAAGACAAGGAGAGAAGAGGAAAGGAAGGAGAGACAGGAGAAGCAGCCAATAGTAAGGACGTAATGTATGCTGCTGCCTAGAGCAAGTCCTCTGCCTCTTCTGACATTAGCTTTCACAGGTACAGCACAGACCTACCACTGACAGAAATGAAAGCCCAGACAGGCAAGGAGGAACTCATGGCTGGAGTAGGTGTGGACAGAAAGAAACCCCTCAGATGCAAAGGCTCCCGTGGCTACATCCTATAATGAACCTATAGGTTCATTTTACTGCAAGTAGGTCAAAATTCCTGCTGCTCAGGACTAATGGTCTTGGTGCTTCCTCACAAGGCCCTGATCATTGCTGAGTTGGCTTCTCTTAAAGAGCAAAAAAGAGGATTCCATTACAAAGTGATGGATGCCCTTGCCTTACGTCTATGCAAGAAAATAATGCCTGGAAGAGAAAACAACAGCTCCCAAGCCACAAAATGGAAAAGAAAATAAATTGCAGAAAGCCACAGACATTTGCAGTCTGTGCTGCCACTTTATACCGACAGCACACTCTGTGCTGGCAGTTTTGAAAAGCACACCTACCAGGCAGCACACTTTGGCCCATGCCATTTCGACCTGCACCAGCTGAAAGCAGAGTCCACATTGCAATACACGAATTTCCCCATTCACCTGCCACTAAGTCCATCTGCACGAGCTGACAAGAGAACCCTCTAAGTGCAACAGAAATCCAGCCTCTCTTCATAAAGACTGCTTGCTCAGACTCAGACATCTAGCACCTTGAATTTCTGTGTTTAACTTTTTTACTCAAGCAGAAATCACTTTACTGCACCCTCTCCAAGACTGCAGTGGTTTTGGGCAACACATACCATTTTATATGCCTGAAAACTAGACTGTGAGGGAAAAAAAAAATTAAGTTTATCTCTTTCCAGATGCATCAACGAAGACTCTTACTTAAATCTGTCAGAGCCAGTGTATATCTTTTTGTGCTGATAAAATCAAGCATTTTTTCCTCTGTCAAATAAATGTAGAGACAAAGAATGAAGCTGGGCCCTGGCACTAAGCTTCAAGTGGGTGCCTTTCTAATCCAGTTGCTTTGAGCAAACTTTATTCTTCTGAAGTACGGATTCTTCTCTAGAAGTCACAACACATTTCTCATGCATTTCAGTCTCCCTTTTCACATTGATGCTGATTTCAGGGAAAATCTTTAAAATGCTGGACTAGCTATTAATTCAACAGCTCCAGGCTAGATAATCTACTTGCCTATGCAAAACTTTTGACAGATATCCACAGAAATGCACTTGATTGACAGTTTAAACATCAGCTTTATCATTACTTGTTCAACATATTTCTGTTTCATTAGATAGGATCTGCGGCGTTATATAGCAAAGTCCATCCATAAGGCTCCTCTGCATAACCCCAGCAACATTTATTGCATATACATTTCTGTCCTGACCTCAAGAGTGGCTTTCTGGCAACAGAAAGCTCTGACTCTAAAGCGCTGGAAAATGGTAGCTGCATGGATCAGCCCTTCTATGGTTACACATTCGCCTTGTGGCAGCAGCTTACTAAATACAATTCAATTTTCTATTTTCTTACCGGTCTGGGCCGTGTCTCCCTCAGGAATGATTTCAGGTCACCTCCAGCCATGAGCTCTAGCAAGATGAAACGGGGCAGCGCCTGCAAGCTCACTCCGATACAACGCACAATATTCTGGTGATTAAACTTGCTGTGGAGAGAGGGAGGCTCAATAATGGATTAGATTTGATCCAAAAAAGCATGATTATAGGAAAGAATCACAATGTTTTGCTGTGGGGAACGTGCCTGACTTTTTTTTCCCCCCCCTTCAAAATAAGTAACAAATCTTAAAGTCAGGGGAACTAGATTAAGCCAAAATACTCCCCTTGCACTCTGCACAGTGCAGCAACAGAGGGTGGAGGTTGGGAAGGAATGGCTTTTAGCTGCTTTTCAGTTTCCTTATATTCTGTGTCCCCTTCGTGCAACAGCAAGACTTGTGGGTCACATGAAGCACTGAATGCCTGTTAAGAGCATGTCTGCTCCTATTTTCTTGTGTCCCAGGGCACAAGTTGGGCTAGGGCAGAGTTGTTCCAAATAACATGCTGACACAGGGATCAGCTTACATAGAGGCATATTCCTCAAGGCCAAGTCTCTAGTACTTCTTTATTTCTCCAGGCCTTAATGTGATGGGGAACTACCTCCTTGGATGGATTCCAGGACTCAGTCTCTGACAGGTGATGTGACAACAGCATTGGGTTAATGACATCTGTTCATTCGGAACATTTTTGCTTACAGTGCTGTTCTACACAAATCCTTGTTCATCTTATTCATACACACCTAATAATGAGAGCTTCCATGAGGAAGTCCAGCTCATCTTGCTCTGAACACACTTCAGGCAACGTCTGGAAAAGAAAGAACAGGTTGATAAGGAGAAGACATTTTAAACTGAGAGATGTCCAACATCTGACACAATGAAAAGCACTAATGACTGCAGCCATCCTTGTTTCTCTTGAAAGAGCCCTTGTTCTAATAATAGCTAGACCATTATAAAAATAGACTGTGAAGCTTGGTGAGAGATACAGATCAGGACACATAAAAACCACTATCATCCTCCTCCTGGTAAAGGAAGCATCCCAGAGCACACAGGGAACAGTGCTAACATACGAGACTCCACTGTGTACAGAAGGAGGAATGAGACCTTAGCTCCTGAGCTCACAGACAGGGCAATACCATTACCTCCCATCAGAACTATTTAAGACTTAGCTGCTACGTAACCTCTAGGAGAAAACAAGGTAGGCAAGCTGCTGAAGGCCTGAAGAACCCTACCAGACTCCCTTAAGATTTGCCTATGCACTCAGTGCATGTTCATCCCGTAATGGAGTGGTGAGAACCATGGAAATCCACCTCCCACCTACAGGCTTTTTGATGTAGCTGCTCCTAGCTACATGAAGACTTCTGTCCCTCTGACTCAAAGGCTTTGAATAGATTACCACACCAGGAGTAGCATGCACAGGATGGACAGAGGGCTTATTTCTCATTCTTGCTGAATACTACAGCTTTACGGGAAATGTTTGTCTATTCACTGCTTATAAACAATTTCTTTTAAGTCTTACAAGCCCATGTGTGACAAGCTGTACCACTGTGATGAATGGAAGTGCTGCAATAGAACAGCAACCTTTCTACACAAATCCTATGGTAATGCTTAATTCATCTCTATTTTTATAATGCATTGGGACTCCTGGGTGAAAAGTGCATGAAACCATCATGATAACTCATACGCTGTCACTTACTTTCACAGCCACCTGCAAGGGAGTGGGGTCGCTGGGGATCCCTGCCACCTGACCTTCATATACCTCACCAAAGGCTCCGTGGCCCAAACCCCTGGACAGACCAGAGAAGACAAGAAGGTTTTACTCCAGAGAACATACATTATAACACTGTGGTCACAGCTCACAGAACGGGCTCACAATTTTCATGGCAGTGGAACAGGGAGATCTGGATGTTGGCACTACGCAGCAAACCGAACCTTTGTATAATTGATCCTGGACCTAAAATGTATGCGATTGGTAGAGAAAGCAATCCTCAGAAGTGAACTGCTCCAGCAAAATCAAACTGCTGGTACTACAAAGTGTAATGGACGGCATTTTCTACTGCTTTGGTGCCAGTGCTCTAGTGGGTGGGTTCTCCAAAGCAGGTCAAAAAAGATGTCTCTAAGCCTCAGTGTTTCTACACCCTAATTAATAGTTCCCATGTTTATGCTCTGTCAGTGGAGGAAATACTGAACAAGAAACTAGGAAGCACAGTGACTCTCAGAGGACCTACATTTCACAAACTAATGATATTTTCCTGGTTTGTTCTGTGACTAGGTAAATACCTCAGCAAGAAAATGGTGATAACAGTGTTTTGTAAAGTGCTTGGCTCTACGAATTCATGCTGAGAATTGTAACAAGCGCTGATTATGAAGCTTATGTTTTTATGTTGAATAAGGTGGATAAAGGAAAAAAAAATTAAAATAATCACACACCACATCCTGTCCTGTGTCCTTGTGATACAGATTTTAGATACCTGCCTATTCAGTCTTTGCTCACTGAGTACTAAGCCAACTGGTGCTACAACAATACCACATGGGTGACACCTCCTAACAACACAATGAACTCTTAGGGAATGAGACTACATCCCAGATCCTGGGACCCTCTTAACACTGCATGAGTTGTATGTTGGGCAGCATAAACTTGAGACTCCCAGAGACATTCCTGCACCTCAGTCTGGGTTAAGACGTGCTCACTTCCACAACAAGCACTATCCCAGTAGTGCCAGGTCTGGCCTCAGAGCTGCACCGAGTGTCTATCCTCTGTTTTTGCGTGGGCAATATACACTGTTGAGAGCAGTCTCAGCAGTGAAACCACAGTGAGGACTGCCTGTAACACAACCACTTCTTTAATAACATTTTGTAGGCATCGGCTCTGCTGTGCCTGACCAACTTTTTACAGATTACAAGTCTACTGCTCATAATTCACTTTCCTGTCTGATAGCCCAACATCCCTGCCCCTATCAATTCCCAGCTGCATCCTCTGCTCTCTGCAGTTTGCCACACTTTCAGATGTCCTTTCAGAGCCCAAGTGACAAAGGCAGCAGCAGCAGCACAGGGTACACTAGAAACTTCCAGATGCAGTCCAGCAAGATACATAGGCAAAGAGAAAACGTGGTAACAACACAATGAAGCTACAGTGCACTGCAGACTGCATGCACAGCTTTATCAGTATCTACATCTTCCAAGCTCTCCTGATTCATCTTGGGATTTCTGTATAAAGCTACATGGTAGCAGAGTGATGCCACATGAATGTGGATCACAGAGAAGGCAAAGATGAATTTACCGGATGAGGGAGATGTTTTTGCGAGGCACCTCTTTGAGGTCACTAATGGAGGTGGTCTTTCCTGCAAAGCAGTAGTTGGGATTGTAGTCTGTCATAATAGTGGAGGTACGCAGTTTGCTCAGCTTATATTCTGGGCTCTGTAACTCCATCTGCATGGCTTGTAGCTCCTGGTGCTTCCGACGATACACTAAATATAGAGAACATGGTAAACCAGCAATGCAGATTGCCTCTGAGAGACGAGGGCAGCCATGCAGTATCTCTCATTGGAATAAGATGCAGGGTCAAATTCCAGTGAATCAAAACAGACAGTGATACTGTCGTATTTCTGCACGTCAAGTAATTACAGATAGAAAATGGAATCTGAAGTTATCCAGGAACCTTCGACTTACGTACCTTATGAAGAATCCAGCTTGCTCATTAACTGCTTGGAAAACGCAAAATGAATTTCACTTGCAGAAATCTCTGATTTCACAAGCCTGACGTTTTTGTTTTGCCCTGTTTAGTTTAGCTGGACTTTCCAATTATGAATCCAGATTCAAACCTGAGGGAGTCTGGCTACAGTCAACTTTCCTAAATCATAGAAAAGTGACTAAGAGCCTGAAATAAATTACTACATTACATTGTTCCAAATGGATAGACTAAACGTTTACTTCAGAATAAAACATTGCATATAAAATAAATCTGTTTTGCAAAACTTCCTGTTTCTAAACAACAGAGTTGGACTAAATTTGAAATCAGCTTATAATAGTTTTATATCACTTGAACCACTTCACCGGTACCTTTGAAATCTTACTGGAAATCACACCTTGGAAAAAAAAAAAAAAAAGACATCCTGTGGATATTCCTTGGAATAGGAATTGATATTGCATATACTTTTTTTCAAAGCAAGATGCCCATCTTGTACAGATTAAATCAGTATTACCTTTACCTTGATTTCTTTGGGAGCTGGAGTGGGCCCAAACACTATGACTATAAAAACTACTGCATCCACTCCAACACATGTTCCTCAGAGGAAGAATTTAAAAAGCATAAACACTCACTGGCAAAGGCAGATGGATGTAACGACCTATCCACAAGTCCTCCCTGTCCTCCATTTTCCTCCTCATTGCTTTTGCTTTGATCTTTTTAAAATTGCTGCTCTTTGCTGAGATGAAAATGATAGTCTGGTTGGACAGATACCGGATTATTCTTCCACACTCTGAGATATAATTAGTAATTTTTAAAGGGGCCCTGTCAGGCCAGAAAGCACATGTACAGGACCGTGTGTGTGCAACTGATAATTTTCAAAACTCTTAAAACTGCAACAGCTGTGCAAATCTAATTTACCAGTTGCCATTTGCTACTCTGGGTACGTCACTGCCCTCCTCTCAATTCTACACAGTGTGGACAAAGAAAGGTGGCAGAGCTGTGGTTTGAAGCACTGATTTTCCCTGATTCGGATCTGTTCTGCTTGTAACCAAATGCAAGAAAAGCCTTGTTTAAAATAAGAAAATGAAAGGGTGAAAAATACCTTTTCAAATTTCAAATAAAGATGCCAAGAACATCCACACTCTACAAATTAGCAGGCTGTATAACGTGAACTTTGTGAGAATTTCAAGCTTAAACGTCATACATTAAGGAGCTAAATCTGTATGTAGGCACACAAATAAAGAGGTTTGCTTTTAGATGTTAAGAACCAGCAGCTCTCACAAAAACAGTGACAGCTCTGTTCTGGCAACTTTACACCACAGCACAAACAATAAAATCTCTTCAAATATGCACTCAGTAACTGGAACTCCTCAAATTGGTCAATGTGGTTAGAAACAACTAAAGAAATCCCAAGGTAAAGAGTGTGCGTGGGAAGGTACCGTGCAATACAGCAGCAGCTAAAAACTGCATCTCCCAGGGCCCGATTATTCTCGGCTCAGATCCAGCCATCACAAGGCAAATATCATTTGCAGAAAAACACTCACCTATCATGATTCCTGAAAAAGCCAAAATTAAGGCAGCAACCAATGCTGAGGTCACTACTGACAAAACCAAGGAGAGAGGGAGATGAACTGTTGGCTCAGCTGCAATGGAGACAAGAGGAAAAGAAATTACATTTGACACAATCTTCCAGCAGACACTTTTTTTCTGCAGCTAGGTTTTTCTGCTCTTCCTTCCGTTTACTTATCTGCTGCTCCTACAGCATAGGAGCAACATCTGACATGATCAATGATCTCAGGATCGATAAACTCAAATATCTCTTTGTTTTACTTTTCTCAATTAACACCAAGCCATTAAAACAGATGGTTTGCTATCAAGGAATTAACACGTGCACTCCTCGTGTATGAAAACAAGACCATAAAAGCTGGGGGTAGGAGGCTGGGGAGATGGAAAGAACATTAAATAGCCTGGTCTAGAGTGCTGCTATCAATGCCAAATCAGAGCAGAAGAAGGACTGCAATATATCATCTCCTAAATGCATCTAGTCCAGGCACACAAAACTGATAACATATGCACTACAGAGTATTCCCCAGCTGCACTCTTGCTTGGATCATTCAATGACCATCTATTAAGGTTTACTTCACCCTGCAAAATGACCGTGCTTTTACTCACTTTACAGGTGCCTGTGGTAAAAATACAGAGAGCAGGATCCCCAAAGCCTGGAGTCACTTGCTATACTGCTGGGCAAGAATATGAAATAAAAGCTTGTAATGGAGTTCTGAGCATTCGGTTTCTGTAGTAAGGCAAGTATAGGTACTGTCTTTTGTTTTCCTCAGAGATCCCTCATGCAGAATTTTTTACAGATCCTGCACATACACCTTGTGTCCAAATCCACAGGAATTGCACTCCCCTTCACTTGTACAGTACCTCAGGGTTCTTCAGAGAAATAACCTGGAAATTTAGCAGAAAGACTCCTTTTCTGAGAAAACTTTCATGATTTCAAAGCAAAAAATGACTGTTGTTGCAACCAGATCTGCTACCCTTTGCCTCTTGTGTATAAAATTTGGCTCACAATGCTCAGTGCCCAGTATGCCATTGATATATTATAAAGCAAACCAGAGATGCTGCTCTTTGCACCATATCTCTGCACTGATGTGCCTGTGCTCTAGCAAAATAACTGTACAGCCAATACCAGCAGAAAATAAGATAGATAACATACAACAGAAGCCACTTTTAAGAGAGAGACAAGATAAGATTTCCAGATGCTTTTACAGTCCAAACTACAGATTTTGACCATGTGTTTTCTCTGTTACATGTTACCAGCCTATCATCTACTTACCTATGCAAGACACACCATCCTCAGCCAAGTCTGTGCCTGGCTCACAAAAGCAAATGACTTTCTGAGTCTCAAGATCAACACGGCACTCGTCCATCTCACAGTGACTGCAGTTAAGGTGCAGCCTAATATCCACCTCTCCATGCCCCTCTGTCACTAGGGAACGGATGAAAGAAGCAACGTTAAATACTGGAAAGATCATTCATCTCATTCCCTCGGGCACTGACAGAAAGGGAGGCATTGTGGTCACAGCTGCTGGCTGTGGCAGAAGCAGCCCCATCTAAGAAACTATTCTCTGCACCTTCCATGGCTGCTATCCTTTTCTCACATAGAAAATAACGTCCAACTACATTAACCAGCTGAGGTGCTCTGGCTCTCTTTCAGCAGGCAGTTCAACCAGGGTAGCAAACCCAATCTTCCAGCAGGCAGTGAGGCTCACTCTTTCTTAGCCTTTACTCTTTTTGAGTTCAAACCATGCAGTATTTTCAAATTTTTTTGGCTGAATCTAACAGTTCAGAATCCATTTGCATTTGAAAACACTTCTGGCTGCTCCTAAGCAAACTTTTTCTGCTCACGTAGATATTCCCATATTTTCTAAATACAATGAAAACACCCAGTGACATCTGGGCAAACACAGGCCTAGAGATAGCTGGAGTAGCAGTATTTCTGGGAAGCGTTCATACTCAACTGGGTTGGCTAAGCAACCTTTCTCCCTCTCGTTCAGAATGACGATAAAATGTATCCAAAGCTTTCTGACGGGTCTTACGGATGCAAACTAGTCTTAACATGAAAGAAAACCACTAGAGGAGACTGCAGACCAACATGAGTACCTTTAAGTGCTGGAGTGTATAAAGTACCAATGGGATTAATAAAGGACACACCATCCTCCCCATCCATCTCTGGGTCATTGTCCTCTGCAGCATTGCCACCTATGTCAAACCAGAAGTTACCTTAACAGTCCGAGGCTCATTAGCACTAAAATACAGATAAGCATCACAACATGCGTGGCTTCGGTGTGTTTAGGGAGACATCCAAATGAGAAAAGAGAATACATCAAAGTATTTAAAATATAGGAATTACCTAGTGAGTTGTGGTATGTAACACTAGTCTTTCGGGTCTAGAACTTCAATTTATAGCAGCAGATTATTACAATCTTAGCTCTGTTTTAGGCAAGCTGTTGTAAACTAAGGTACAAATTTCATCTTTAACCATTTGGATGCTGTGAAAACACATAAGCCCTTCTCAGCTTCAGTGTGGCCAAGAGACTGGAAAACACCAGTGCTCAGTTCAGTATCCTTGCTGATCGAGGTATGCGTCAGCAGAGGGAAACGAGTGATCTGATAATCCTTCTTCTCCTTTGCACCCTGAAAACAGGGTGGTCCACCAGGAATGGGGACTGGAGGAGTTTACTCTTCAATTGCTCATTTGTGCTTGGGCATATGAAACATACTAGGAGCAAAGTATGAGCAATCCATGGAACAAGTCAGAAGCATAGCACAGTCCATGTATTTTGTACAAGCATGCAAAGATCCCCCCACCCCCTACAAAAATGGCTTTTCTTCTTTAACCGCCTTTAGTACAAAGCAAAATTATATCATGTGAGGCATTCTGTTGGGAAAAGAAGCATTACACAGAAACATTGGTACAAAACATGCACTCATTTAGACTCATTACTTCCTCTCAGAATTTCAAGTGTATCATGGACTTGATTTAAGCTGTGGAGAACCAGGGGTTAAGAAGTCCACCACAGTGCAGATGGCTGAAGAAACTATGAGGCCCAGGAGATTAAGGATTAGTAGAGATCTTGAATCTGGTCCACACCAGTTATAATCAACATAATGCCATCTGACAGCTGTCCTGAGACGCACATGAAATTAGTTCCTTGTTGCCTGAAGTCAACACCACCATCATTATTAAGAGGGGTCCTGGCTAGCAGCCTGAGCACAGGAACCATGGAGCAGTGGAGCTGCTCTGCCCCCAGAGACCACCTGTATAGGACTGAGGCCCTCCCATAGCAGGGCAGGGTGGAAGCAGCTGCACCCTTCACCCAGCATCAAATCTGGCATCCAGTCTCCAAAGTACTCAAAATACTGGAGCTGGCAGTGGAGCACACAGCCTACGGCTCCTGCTTTAGCATTACAACCCAAAAATGGATGGCTCAAGAATCACAGAAGGATCTTGATGGCACATTTTCTAGACTGCAAAGCCAGGATTGGAGCTGAAGGACTGACATCTGGCTATGCTCTAAGAGTAAATGCCATACGTTCATCTAGTGCTAAAAAGGCAACACACAAACATACTATTACGTAACAGTCAAATATGCTAGCTACAGGAGAATTATCTATCAGCCTTTTGCTGACCATTAGCACTAAAGGAGGGGAAGGGACACCTTGAACACGAAGCCACTTTACCTATATATCCTCCGCCTCCTCCACCTGAGGAGCACCCCCCTCCACCCCCTCCGAAACCCCCTCTTGTCTCCCACCCCCACTTCTTCATGGCCTGGGGGCAGGATCTTCCTCCAGTAGCACCTTCCAGCAAGGATTTTCCTGACCACAGGAAGGAAGTGTTATCATTCCAGCCACCTCCACCACCTGTGGTTAACAGAAGAGAAAAAGCATAGGCAAAGGTCATTTTCTTTTTTTGTAAAAAACAAACACCTTAGGGATCCACTGAATGAGCACTCACTCAAAGCATCTCAGCTGAAAGAACAAATTTCATTCTGTGGTTAGAAGAGGTGTCCTTTCTAACCAGTCCTACAGTGACCTTACGTTAGGGCTTTGATCATGTTAACCACCTGCACTTCTTTTTGCCTATCATATGAGGACTAGTATTTCCAGTGGAAAATGTCAAAAGATATCCCTACCTACTCTCCAAGCACGTGCTTCTAAGCTTACAGAGTGTTCTCTTCCTCTTTGCATAAAACAGAATGTTGTTTCTAATGTGGAACAAAAGGAATTCAGTGGAAGAGATGCAAAAACATGTCCCACTCTGCTCTAAAAACATAGTCACCTGTGATTCAATTTCAACTTCGTAGATTGCTCAATACAAGGTCTCTTCACAGAGACTCCTAGCTAGCACACAATTATTCTCCTTTCACATAAGCCAAAGAAACTATGAGTATATCTACAATAATGCAAAGAGCTGTATGGTCTTATCATCATAGCAAACTCCCTCAACAATCATGACTTAGCAGAATGTTGTCAGAGTTAGGGTAGTATGATTAGGTTGCAGTTGGACTTGACGATCTTTAAGGTCTTTTTCATAGAATCATAGAATTGCTGAGGTTGAATTCCATGATCAAAATAACAAACTTTGCTTATCAGAGATCCAACACTATTTAACCAGCACTCCACCGTTTCCGATATCCTTATTTAGGCCAAGTATCCTGCACTGTGGGTACATCCTACACATCTGTTGTACTTCCAGGCTCCTCTGAATGTTTTCAGAAGCTTCACTTCACCTCCACAGAATCTGGGTGAATCAAATACTCACAATGGTTTTCTTAAAAAGAATAAATTTTTCTTACCTGCAGCTCCTGAATTTCCATTCAGCCCTGGAACAGAGGAATCATTCTCCAGCCTTTCTGGATGAAATGTGTCTGTTTTGGCTCTGTAGGCCCTGCCACCACCTCCTGCTGCAATTATCAAGGGGACTGGTTCTCCATTCTCCATCTTAAGTTCAGAAGTAAAGGCAGTATTCAGACTGAGTCACACACACAAATGGAAGTTCAACCACATGCTTGTTACTGCACGTTGCACTAAGCAGGCATTTAGGACTGCTGAAAACTATAAATTACCACTGCATTATTTAGGCACCAACATCCAAAAGACTAATGAATAGCACTAGTTCTACCAGATCTACAGGGAACAGAGGCAATTGGCAGCTCTGTGAATTATAAATCATGTAATGTTATCATGTTATAAGCTTCATCGAGCAAAACAGCTAATGTGTAATGCCCTACGCAGTGCACTATGATGTCTGCACTTATAAAGGACTGCTACACTAGAAACTGTCTGAACATGCAGAGTTACGTAAAAGTATATAGAAGTCAGTCTGTTCAAACATGTTATTCACCAGGGTGAAACTGGTGTTTGGAAAGAGTATCATCTCAGACAAGGCACAACAGTACAGATCAGTGGCTTCTAGCTGTAGAGTTGCCCATACAAAAACATACAGACTACCTTCAGCTTTTCTTGTTGTTACATCATTTAAGTTACATATCTAGCTGAAGTCTCATGTTCTACAATGACATATTCAAATAAAAAGGAATTCGCCCTTTGCTGTAGGTATTATGCTTCAGAATCTTAGTTTGCATTGAAAAAAAAATAATCTGTTTCCAACCGTTGCAAAGCCAATTCCAAGCCACTGAAGTGAGCATGGCAATACCATGAAGCCATTCTAAAGCACGTGAAAAGCCATCTCTGCTCTCCACCTCTCTATCATCTGGAAATGAAGGACACCCAGAGTTCTTTGTGGTCCCTTTCTCACAGGTGTGTAAAATAGCTATTTCAGGCTGTGATACTGGAGGCAATTGGCAGTACGTATTCATGCTGAAGGTGCACAAAGACTATGTTTCCATACCTTAAATATATAAGTTGCACCTCCCCCACCTCCACCTCCTCCTGCCCATTCATTGACACTTCTGTTCACACGTATCTCCTCTTCAATCACATTGTTCTCTCCAATGCAGACTTTCTGTATAACGTCATTAGTCTGCAAACAGAAGAGCAGGGCTGAATTCTGAAAATAAATTTCTAAGTACACACACAAGCTTTATCGTCCCTCAACCCTCTCAAACCATGTCTATCAAGAGCTGAAGTGTACTGGAGGCTCACACATGTACCAGAGCTAACCTAAATAGTCATAGCACGCACAGTAGCAATGAGCTCAGTGTAGATTAATCCAGCAGCACTAATATTGCAATTACCAGAGCTAGGATGTTCAAAGCCTATGAAAAGAACTGCTATCCCACCTTCAACTGCAATGTTGACACAACATTAAAGAAAATATTTAACTAGGAAACTCCCACAATTCCTACCCAGCATTTTTTTTTCCCTCCACCATTTAGCTCCAAACATAATGAACCTTCCACATCAGGCAAATCACTGAATTCACTGACTTATTTCAAACACAACATTAAGCCATTGTTTCTAAGTGCTTCTGGACTACAATCTAAAAACAAAACAAAACGATAACTCCTGCTTCGGTTTTAAATTGGGGCATTAAGTGCATGGAAAGATGGGTTTTGCTTTGAGTTCTTGTAAGTCACAAGCTCTGCTTCTTGCTTATTTTTTTCTAAAGGTTTCACCCGAGTAACCCTGTCTTGTTATGTACACCTTACTCACTAAGCTAATGACATTGTAAGGAAAAAACGCACAAACAGTTGTACAGTAAAACTTATGTTTCTACCTACTCCCACATATGTATTTCCTTTTGGGAGACCTGATAAAAGCATCTTCCTCAAGTTACAAACTATTCTGTTGACCAGAAAACAGTGCGCCAGAAAATGAATGTCATCTACTTAGAGTTTGTGGACTTGTCTATGGAGCAAAACAACCCCTCTCCTTTACCCTTCTCTTAATTGACCAGAACTTGGGTGGGGATGATTAATATGATGACAAAGTCAATGACTCAGAGGGGCCACTAGATTACAACTGAATTAAAAAAAAAAAAAATCCTTCATAGCGAAGACATAACTGATTACAATCCAATCTAGTAAAGGTCCCTTCTACAAGTCAATACAATCTCTCTGCTTCAATGAAAGAATTACATTAGCACTCAATAAATTCTCACTGAGATTACAGAGACCTGAAATTTAATGACTCCATATATTACACTGAGCTGGAATGCCCTAGTTATAGATGTTAGATGGAAGTTTGAGTTAGGGCACTTCTTATTTCAAAGAGGCTTCATATTTATGGTTTGTTTGTAGATGCGTGTAATTCCAGGTTTAACATTATTTATTTCAGCACATGGCCTTGAAAACCCCACTTTCTTGTCTGCATCTTTCAAACCTTCTCTGCTCTAACAGATGGAGAAACTTCCACTTCCTGGATGCCGGGCATCTAAAAGTTGAGAAACACAGAGCATTTAAATGCCCAGCTCAAACCTGTAGGTGAAATTTCAGCAGATAAGGCTTAGTTCTACTCATAACAATCTCTTAATCCCAAATCCTCCGAAGAATACTAAAAAGATTAACAGAGTACTGCAAATGGCAGAAGTTGCTCCTTTCCACCTAGATATTTGCAGCAATGCTTAGCTAGTACCACGAAAATCAGGGCTGTCTCATCAGGAATTCATTCGTGTCTCCCAATCCCCCACAGAAAATAAACACAAATGGGCACTGTGAGGTGGGTATTTCCCATTGCAGAGTATTGTGGCAGTTGTAGGGTTGGACTGAACAGCAGAGCAAAGCCAAAGCTCTGTGAAGTCAGAGGAAAGGAAGGCAGGGTTGACTTCTCCCTCTGCAAATCCACACAGGTGCTCTGAGATATACAGATTAATCAGAAGCCTATAGTATTATCTCTGTAAACAGACAAAATTCCACCAGTTTGTAAGCATTACAACAAAGCAAAAAGGACAATCTCTTACACTAGGGCAAGCATCTTCTCCTTGCTGTCCCACCAAGATATACAACGTATCATCCTTCTGGAGGTCAAAAATTCCCAGTACAGACACGCCATGGGATCTCACCATAGTGTTCTTCCCTCCTTTCCCACCAGCAGCTCCATAACCTGAGATGCTGCAGGAAAACAAACACAAGAACGTGCATATAATCAATGAATATAAAGACGTTATAATTATGAAATAAACCAGAGAGTTTGGCTCAGCAGGTTATAATAACAAAAAGAGAATAGATAGAATGCTTACCTGCACCCTGGGCTTACTGCAAAACTCCAGAGGAGAGATCTCCAGATAAGATCCTTCCCTACTGGCAGCCAGCTCTTAAATAGGTCTAGGAGAGGTGCAGCCAGGCTCCACCCCTTCTGGTAGCACAGCTGAATTGCCTTCACCTGTGCTCCCATGGCTCAGGTGATCAATCAGAGGTTCAGGCTGCGATTCAGCAGTTCCCATATAAACGTGGTACCTGCGTTGTTCCGGATGAGTGGAAGCTAATATCAATGACTTATGGGCACTGAGTGCTTTGTACACCTGAACTGTACACAGTGTCACAGGACCTTGCCCCAAAGACCTGACAACTCTAAATACAAAAAAAAAAAAAAAAAAAAAAAAGCTTGAAGACTGAAGTCGTCTGTTCTGTGTGAGTCTATGAACTTGGGTAGCTGCAAAACAGATTCTTTCACACTGCTGAGGACACACTGCACAAGTCTCTGTAGTTTCAAATTTTAGTATATGTAACATATCTTGTTTCCCAGAAGGCATGCCCTTAAGAGGTTTGCAGTGAGCGCTGCAAAGATCAGAAGCAGTAGAACTAATGAGTACAGCACATATGGCTAAATAGAACCTTTTGCACAATATTGACGGGGAAAGTTGAGAAAGCAGATTATCACCGGTCCCAGTACAGTAGACCAGATGGGAAACAGTTCTCAAATTTCCAGGAACAGAATGAAAAACAATAAATGGGCACACTACTGGCAGTAAATAGGGAAGGCAAAAGCCTCCTGGCTTAACTCACAGTCACCATGAACATCACACTGTCTCCAGCCAGGAGCAGCTAGTTTGCACGCAGAGGCTGCCGCGGTCTCAGGTAAGGCACTTGGACTTTTATTCCAAGCATTCAAGATTCAGAAGTCCTTACTATTGTTGATATACTCAAAAATTGGACTGCTCAGATCCTCCCTCTCCTTTTCTATGTACATAAACATCTTACACATTTGAAGCAGTTTTTACCATGAGACTGCAAAGCATGTCATAAATATCATGAAACACACATTTCTGCTGCAACAAAAGACAGAGTCACTTGACTTCATCAGCAAATGAATGGTGGCAAACCAAGCTAGCTCAGTTTAGATCTGAAATAAGTAGGTGATTTTCCAGTGACTCCCAGCTATTTCTATGAAATAGTAAAATTCAACCTGGAGTGTGTAAACAGTGATGCAAGGCTGAAGATACAAATTTTTTCCTTGTCTTCCTACCTATTCCAGTAAGGATGCTCTCCTTAACTCCTATCCTTTAGCACATGATGGGTTTTTGCCCTGCACAGTCCTGCAGGCTGAAAGCAGAACAAACCAGCAGAGCTCAGTGTGTATGAGCACCCTGACCAGGTCAGGCAGGCAGCTTCCTCCCTCAGGGAACAACCAGCTCACTTTCAGCTAGCTCTTGCCCCGAAAGGAACTCACCTTATGACACCACTACGAGGCAGCCAGCCTGAAGCAATTTCAATGTCATAGCAAACATGGAGCATCAAGTGCCTCATAAAGCAGATTAGATCCTTGCAACGTGACACGACTGTGTTCATGCCACTCTCGGTAACCAAAGCAATCATTTCTCAGTAAGGCTGCACTGGAGCCAGCAGAAAAAGTGATAAACACACAGTACTGGGCTCCCCTGAGCAGACACTGCATGAACCTGAAGACTGAGCTAAATTTACTGTAGAATTTTGGAATGCTTAATGAAGTGCGCTGTCAGGCACAGCAAGCTGGCACAGTTAATCGGCTGCAATTAGGGCCATATTTTTCTGTGCATAAACAGATCTTGCATATAAGCAATGATATCACAAAATTTGAGAAAACCCATTTCTGCCTCATTCAAAGGCTGCAAACAAATAATAAATGGCAGGTTTGGGAAACAGCCATTCCATATTTAAAATGTGTATTGCTATTTAAATGGATGGGTTATCTTGACTTCAGGTGAGAGCAGGATCCCTCTCCTTAGGCAAGGCTTTCTTTTATGGGAGGGATACACTTAAACCACATTGGCCTTGAAGAAAGTCACATTACCTGAGAAGATATAAGCAAAACACAGCATATCTTCCTAAAAACTTCAGGAAGGAGCAGCATGTGCATAGGGCACTGACAGTACAAGCACAGCCTTGTGTTTTTGTTTTACCTTACAAGAAGGGACAAGAGAAATGAATATTGTGGAAGTGACACCAAATGATCATACAGAAAAATAGACCAAAGGTTTTTGCTTTAAAAAATGAATAAATTTGGTTAATGGATGAAATGTAATTTGTTACAGCTTGCTTCTTCATAGTTGATCATAGGCATAGATGTTGGATGACAAAGTCTTCTGAATGCTTTGAAGACAATCTAGATAGAAAAAATATTCTTTTACACTGCCTAACTTTATTATTATTATACAATGCTCACCTCATGGTATTGAACCAGCTTACTTTGTCTGCATCAGCACTGGAGCATATAAGAATGCAAACTTCAAATGAAGCAGTGTACAGTGTGTGCAGCCTACCCAGGCCTTCACAGATTGTGGGGTAAGCTTACGTTAGCAGAGTTTTGTGAAAAGTTAAGCTTTCTGTCTCTGAGAGTTAATAAAGCATATTTTGCCTTGTGTTCACATGATCTATATTCAGCTTATTCAATTACTAGATATGTAACTCACTGTGCTGCATTACACAGTGCAAGACGCGCTGATGAACCACACCAGCTTTCTAAACAGCCCAAAGCCAGCTGGAGGATTTTATCTCTGGGTCAAATAAATTGGAGATGGGTAGCAGATGGACCTGCAGGATTCGCAGTGCAGTAGGCCTGCAAGGGAAAGCTAAATACAGGCTGTGGATTTAGACTCTGGAAAGCCTACTGCTGATATTGCAACTTGATGTTTTCCTAGAGCTGTGCTATGCTGTGGGGGTCCCTCCTGCTCCTCCAGCAGCTCTGAATCAGGAATATGTCAAGATAATTTAGGTCCACAGTTGCTGCCTCCTTTCCTCAGGCTGTGAATTCTCTACAGCAGCCTTAGGAAGCACAGAAGAGAATGTCATCTAGTTAATGATATTAGCCATTTATTATCTATACTGAACTAAAAGCCTGTTAGGTCATTTATAGGACCTTAAATATTTACGTCCCTCCTGCAGGAGCCTCATTTCACCCGTGGTTTGTATTGCGTAGCAAAAATCAGCCTACAGTTGCACTAAAATTTTGGCTCTTTCTTGGCCTCCAATATTAAAGAATTGACAATACTGTAATTTTATTGCCTCTTCTCTTTCGGGCTATACTTTATATCCTTATTTACTGAATGCTGGTCCTGAAAAATTCTTTTCACCTCAGGCAACTCATTTTTGACAGTTGAGTAAAATATCATGAACGCTTTCTTCATTATCATCAATCCTTCTGGTAACAGGCACTCCAGCAGAACTTGAGCATAGCCTAACCTAGCCAGTTTCTCATAACTGCTTTGCAGCAGACTTCTGTTAGAGGCTGGTACCTACCCCCAGTATATATATTTTTTCAATAAGACTAAAAAAAAAAAAACAACCAAAAAAAACCAAAACAACAACAAAAAAAACCCCAACAACAACAGAGAAGGTGACAGTAAGTTTTAATTGAAATTTGCCCAAAGACTACACTAGAATTTTCTGCTTCAAAATCCATGACACTATCATTAGTTTCAATAGGGAATGCTGCATTAAAAATACACTAGATAATCATTGATTCATTGAGACAAAATGGTGCATGTTATGGCTTGATGTTGCTACTCAGATACAATGGGCTAAGCTCCGCACCTTTCCTCCCAGCAGGAGCAAAAATAGGAAAAGAAAAGTGGTAAAAATCAGCTTAAGTTGCATTAAATTGTACCTGATCATGTCCCTTTAAGGACAACTCTGTAGGGGGATTTAAGCATTTTAACTCTCAGTGTCAAAGCCTAACACTTTGGTGGCTGGCTTCCAAAATCAATTCTACAGTGCTGATAGGCATACAGACTCAACCTACTATATCTAGTTCCAAAACAGAGCAGACGCTGATGTAATCTGTCCTGTAAGAAAAGCTGACAGAGTTGTACCTCCTATATCAGATGTAGAGTGAGAAAAACTGATTTTGATGCCAAAGTTCAATGGATAGCATATAGGATGCATTGACCTTGGCTCAGGGAGGTCAAATACTGACTTTTCAGTTACTTATAAATCTCTCCCATCCTCTAAGGTATTTAGGTTGAATATTTATGTGCTTCAGGACAGTTGTTTCTTCTCTTCTCCATTTCACCAAATAGTAGCATCTGCTGGACAACAAATCTAAAACTGGAAAGACTGGAGATCACAAAATCAAGGAGAAGTAGATCTGCCTAAATTTCTGAATACAACACATACACGTCTAGCACGTATCCACAGCTTGGAGAAATTCTAACACAAACACATGTTATAAGAGCAACAGGTGTTTCCCTTACCTATATGTGTTGGTTGCTGGTACTCTCCAGATTTGAATGCCTTGGAGAATCCCCTCAGCTCCGACAATCACACTGAGGTTGGAGTTCCTGTAGGCATCATTGCATTGGCTCTGTGTTGGGCCATAGGCTCCACTAGCACCACATGTTGTGAACAGCCAGTGATCTGAAATGAGAACGTAGGCAAACCATGCTCTGAGCACACAAAGATCAAGTAGCTGCTCTGCTCTTCATCCACTCTTTGTTATTGCAGTATCAAGAGAACTTGGCCCTTGAGGTTTTAGCCAGAACAAATATTTGCACAATTCTTTCAAACATCTAATAACACTGTACAGCTTTGACAGCTTCTCATCTAAAACTTCTCAAAACTGCTACAACCATGCTACTTTTTCTAAGGCTCAAAAAGGTAAAGATAACAGAGTAGAACAGAAGTAAAATGCACTAACTTCAAGAGTGTGCATTTTAGCCATTTCAGCTCATGTTTATATTTGACCATTGAACCTATTTTGTATGGGAAAGTAGCTGTTAATTAGATAAAAGCCTGTAAATACGGCATTTCTCAGTGAGTACAACATAACAGTAAACTGATAACTTTTTGAATAATGATTTAGATGA